GAAAGCATCATACCACGGTGCTGTCTGTGCACCCATGTTTATAGCAGAGCAATTTGTCATGGCTGGATCTTGGAAACAACCCAAATGCCCGTCGGCTGAGGAATGGATAGAAAAGATGTGGTATTTTTATACAATGGAGTATTACTCAGCTATAAGGAAAGATAAACTCCAGGGTTTTACGGGTGAGTGGATGCACTGTAGACTGTTATGTTTGGCGCAAGTGAGAAAGGAGGAAAAGGTGGCTTGTTGTGGGGGGCTCAAACTAAGGGGGGCTTAACCCCTTAGGAGCTACACACCCCCACCGGGTATCCAAATCACAGCACCAAAAAGGTTAGGTTTGGCACAAGTGAGAGACACAGCAAAGATAAAGAAAGCCTTTATTGCTGGGCACGAGTCGGCAGCTGGGGGAAGCAAGGCCCCTCTGCGGGAGCAAGCTGGGAACAAAGTATATAATCGGCTAGGTTGGGGGTGGAGTATATGGGGGCAGCTTAGGTGACGTTACAGGCACTGATTGGGAAAGGGTGGACACGCGCAAAAGAAATCGGGAAGTCGTGGTCAGGTGGGGAGGAGGAAGGTGAAAGCCAGGTTTAGGGGGACACGTTATTTTTCTGGGCTCCCACGCTATGCCAGATCACCGCCATGATGGCTTGGTAGAATTTTGTCTGGGCGGAAACCAATCAGAGACCATGCTCATGGGTGAAACTGATCAGACCCGCATGCGTAAACATCGTATTGTCTCCCTAGTGTAGGAACCTGAAAGAGTAAATAAAATCCAAAAGGCACAATAGACATTGTGAAAGGGAAAGAAACTGCTCAAAAGGAAAGCACAACTGGGTTGTAGGAAAGAAGAAAGAAAGAAGGAAGGGAGAAAATATATGTATATACCAGGGCAGCTCAGAAAATTGTACTGCTGATTTCTGTTGGTTTATCGAAAGGAACTGTTAATGCTTAATTTTTTATTTTTAAATTTTTAAAAAATTTTTAATTTTTACTTACTTTTGTTCTTTTTAATTTTTTTGACCAATTTTGTGTGCTTATATCTGGTAATATGAACAACTAATTTGAAGACAGCAATATGCAATATAACAACCATTGTTGAAATCCTATCATCTTGTTTAGTGAAATTCTGTATCATTTAAAATTTTTTATCATTTTTTTATTCTCTTTAAAACACAAAAATAAATTTTAAAAAAAAGGAAAAAAATACTTACCCAGACTTAACCAACAATGTAATTTATGTTTATGGTATGTTACCCTCACTAAAATTCATTCTCCCTGAGATCGTGAAGTTGGTTTGCTTTGTTGATGCATTCCTGGTGCCTCAATCAGGGTCTGGTGTGTGGCAGATGTGAATAACCATTAATACAAGAATGAATAAAGTGGATGGATCTTGTACATTGACTGCTACCCAAACATTTCAATCAATGAAATTTAATTAATTTAATCAATCTGGAAGCCATGTGCTACTATACATTAGGGAGTTGAGTTTTGAAAGTAGTATTTTTTTAGCTAACATAACAGGGCCTTTGAGAAATCCACTAAGGAGGGCTGGGGATACAGCTCCATGGCAAAGTGCCTGCCTGGCAAGCATGAGATTCTGAGTTCAGTTCCTAGTACCAATACAGGAAATCCACTAAGGAGCATATATTTATTCATAACAATTGTCAACACATTACATGTATAAAATATTAAATGTATTGATTTTATACATATAATCTTGCAAGGTAGCTATTACTCCCGTCATATTTTATAGATGTGGAAACTAGAACATGGCAACAATAAATAACTTCTGAAAGGTAGCAGCTAAGAGTTAAGGGCAGAACTGGGATTTAAATCCTGGCTGGTTGAGTGTGTCTTTTTTTGTCTTCCCTGGTATAGGACATTGAACCCAGGGCCTTCCTGCTCAGCTACATCCC